AAGAAGAGGAGAGACAGCAGCCATGTTTTGTGGATGGTGAATGCAGGAGCCGTGTGAGCAGAGAAATCTGATGGCATCCAGGTGTGAGGGCATCCCTCAGTAACCAGAGCTGCAGCTAAGTGAAGCTGATCGTGTCCAAGACCCTGATCCTGTTCAGAGAAAGGAAGATTGCTGCCAGGAATGCTGATGAGAGCAGAGGAACAAAGCAACATACACTGCGATATCGCATGCTTGTTGGAGAGACATTTGTTCTGTTCAGAGTCACCAGGGATGCAAAGCAGACCCGGGTCGGTAAGATCGTGCACGCACCTCATTTCGGTGTTGGCGCCTAGAGACTGAGTCCAGGTCTATAGTTAGTTAGTAAGGGTCTCTGTTTGTGTCAGGCCACAAGTGTTGTTACTGATCATTGGAAGGACTCCACAACTTAAAGTGACATTTCACATTGGAGAGCTGATAAAATCCCACAAACTCAAGCCACACTGGCGTTTTGCTCAGAAGGAATACTCAGGCACGTGCTACAGGACCAGTTATGGGAGGGGGAATACTGTAGATTTGTGTAAGATTGTAAGCTGTTGTGCTGCACCGCAGGCTAGCCCATACCATACACCCATACACTGATTCCTGCTCTTTTAGGGTAATAACAGGTAAGGTGTGGCAGCTTAGTTGTGCCCTCCAGTAGGTAAATTACTATACCTTCTACCTTCATCCATCAGAAGGCGCTGTGCTGTGCAGCACAAGGGTCTCAGCCTTTGGGCTGGGTGTATGTAAATTTATTGTATATTCCAGCATTTGTGGTTGTGTTTATTTGCCACATCTAAGTAAAATTCTGTTGTGGCAAAAGCTGGTGTTGCGGTTGCTTTCCTCGTTCGTGACTTCACTGTATCCTGGGGAGCCCACCCCGGTACACGGCTTACAGGCGGACTGACCATTCGAGCATTGGGCACTGCCCGAGGGCCCAGGGTCAGTAGGAGGCCCCATGAAATGCCCCTGGTACCTTTTATAGGCTTTTTTGAGTGTGGGCAAGGACAGAGGGGCCCCATAATCCCCTACTGACCAGAGGCCCCATGAGTTGTCAATCCGCCCCTGGATCTGATCCATCCTGTTGGGATTTTCTTTACAACTTACCTTTTCTTGGAGAGGGTCCGGTGTCACCCCATATAGGTTGCATTCCAACGATCCTGCGGGGATCTTCGGCATGCAACCTATATGGGGTGACACCGGTGTAGCGGCAAGATGTGTCTCCCATGTAGATATGTCCCCCCTGAAGCAACTGCGCATGTCACAGTTTCAGACATAAGAAGCCGATCATCGATCACCAACTGTAGTGCAGAGCTGCCACAGTTAACCCCTTTTAGGCTGCACCGCTGATTATTTGGGAGCATAATGGATCGGAGAGAGGACAATTACATGGGGGGGAGTGACATGGGGAGTACAGACACATGTGGGGAAGACAGTAACATGGGGGGGAGTGACATGGGGAGGACAGTGACATGTGGGGGGGTCAGTGACATGGGGGGGGGCCGTTGTAGCGGCAATATGTGTCTCCCATGTAGATATGCCCCCCCTGAAGCAAATTGGCATGGAAGGGGTTACTTCACCAAACTTACATGGTCAGATACAGTAGTTCTATCATCGATTGATCGTATCTGAAACCGGGACATGCGCAGTTGCTTCAGGTGGGACATATCTACATGGGAGACACATCTTGCCGCTACACCGGACCTGTTCCAAGAAAAGGTAAGTTGTAAAGAAAGCCGGAGCCGGAGTCCGATCCATTATGCTCAATCCACAGATCTGATCCATTCTGCGGGGATCATCGGAGGGGGTGTCACCAAGTGTTACCGCACCGGGTGAAACCAACCCTAGGAACACCTCTGACTTGCGGTCTGCACTATTGGATATTTCTTTGCTTCTTTTTGGTATATCTATTCTTGAGAGACCATTAACTGCTTGATCAATGTTGATGATGAGCGGGGTCTCAAATATTAAAGCAAAGTGCAACTGACCCCCTCATTACAGTGGGGTCCCCAAACTAAAGTGAGGAGATGGGGTGTGGTGAAGGGCACAGTGTTGTGTATTCACGCTGAAGGAATTCACATTGTTTGCAGCAAGAATTGGTAAACTGATTGAGGATTGCACGAAGATTGGATGGTGTATGGACTCTTTTATACTGGACTACATGTTTTTTGTAAAAAAAAAAAAAAATATATATATATATATATATATATATATATACACAGTATATATATATTCACTCACCAGCCACTTTATTAGGTACACCTTGCTAGAATCAGGTTTGGTCTATATTGACATGAGTTACTGTTAGATTTCTATCATCTCTAATAAGTCTGCCCATTCTCCTCTGACTTCAGACATCAACAAGGCATTTCCATCCACACAACTGCTGCTCATCTGATAATTTCTCTACTTCGGGCCATTTTCTGTAAAGCCTCGAGATGATTGTGCGTGAAAATCCCAGTAGATCAGCAGTTTTTGAAATATAGTCTGGCACCAACAACCATGCCACGTTCAAAGTCACTTAAATCCCCTTTCTTCCCCATTCTGATGCTCGTTTTGAACTTCACCAGGTTGTCTTCACCACTGTTCTGGGAGTACATCCATGGACGCCCTACCAGAACTGGAGAACGGTGATGTAGTCGTCTTTTGGCTATAGCGCGATCGGCAAGTGGTTAATAACATTAAATTACAATATAGATTGTGTAGCAATAGTATGTTCTATATTAGTTTGTTATTGGCTATATTTTTCCATAAAAGTGGAGTTACCCTTTAAATCTCTGTCACACTAAAACACTGTAATTTTTTCAGCTGAAAGCAAAATTACACTAGTATTTCTGAAGACAATTTCTCACCCCTCTCCAGTTTTACTAGTGGTTGTCAACTTGTGAGCTAAAGGGGGCCCCTGACATCACCAAAGGGCCGCACACAATGGTCAATATATGTAATGCTAGAGAGGACCGACAGAAACTGCAGACCTAATAGAGGAAATGAGGGTCAGAGAGTGTGGACATGATATATTTTTGGCTGGGGATATCCTGCAGAAGACAATATGAAACTGGGAACATGTTACATGAGGATAGTGGAGATTCCGGCTATTACCATAATCAATGTTCACACTGCAAACTGCTGAGGTCTGCGGGCCGCACATCATATATCAAAGGTCAGAGGTTGGGCACCAGGGGGTTGTACTAACATTACTAGTGACCCAACACTGCTCTTGCCTCTGCTATGGCCAATTTAGAAAACCTGGGGCTTCCAGCTATACGGGAGAATGTCACCTTCCGTTGACAGTGCACAGTTTTAACACCCAACAGCTGGGTCCAATCACTGTCCTAAGGCAGAGGGCTGGGGACGTCTTCTCCCCCAAGTCTCCTACACAAGACATACATTGGATTCCACTGGCAGCTTCAGCAGTGATAGGGGTAGTATGGAATCAATGGTAATGTTAGTATGACTGGTTTAAGGGCCTTTAGAAACACATTTTTCCCTGGATGGGTAAAGGGTGGGGTTATGTGACTAGAATGGGACTTTGAACAAATATAGGAAAAAGCAAATACAATTCTTTATTACTGAACCTGAAATCTAGATGGAGAAATTGACTTGATGTATCAGATGATATGCGAGTAATTGTACCTCCATCCCATGTTTTGATTGCACAAAACAACAGCAAGAATCTCACTAGTTGCAGTTACTTTGTGTGCTTCTGATTTGCCATCTTTATAAAAAATAAATTATGGGATTCTTATGATTTTCTTTCGATTGTTTTGTTCTAAACTACCCATATGTAAAGTCGAACCAAGATACAAACGTTTTGTCATACTGGTGTCTAATAAGTATGAGCCAAACTGGCCTGGGTTCGGTAAACCTTTGAACATTCCAAACCCAGGCTGCCTGTATCCTATCAGCAAGTAGTACTTGGTGGCCCACACAACATTGCTGATTGCTAAGATATTGGCAGGTGCACAGCTCATTGGTTGTTACATATTAGCAACCAATGACACAGTGTGGGCTGACCAGCATTTTTTGTTGTTCAGATAGAGACAGCCTAGGTTTGGAACATTCCCAAAGGGCAGGCCAGTCCAGCTCATCTATAGTACCTAATAGGATTGGCGGTGATTGGGGATGAGTGCAGGCATTTTCGGATCCTAGTCCAAACCCAAGTTAAAAGCCTACCAGAAAGCTGCGCCCCCAAAGCCATAAGTATACATACCCATTATATACATGTGACAATGGAGTGGGGAATGCAACAGCCACAGATGATTGGTCCAGAACAGGTAATAGCTACCTGGTTTAAATCTGAACATGTCTGGGCTCATCACTGGTAATGATCATTTCCACAGTCTGGGGGTATGGAAATATTTTGGGCAATCCATCGTAAAAAAGATAAAGCAGACATTCACTCATGACATAAACTTCCTCTCATCGGCTTTCTCCACCCTCCCCCTTACACAATCATAGAAAGTTTCTTTATATTAGGAAAAGTAATTTTTTTTTTTAATAGCAATGGGGTCTGCCATTTCCTGATTCCCCACCAAGGTTAGTGAGATGTAGAGATTGTCCACCTGCTGATTCCTTTGATGTCCATGTCACTCATCCCAGAAGACAGTGTCTCAGTGAGGGCTGAAATGTGGTGCAATCCTGGGCATGATCCTAGTATTTGGGACCTGACAGAAACCTGTGGCATGTCTACGTATGTGCGAGATCTTGTGTGAAAATCAGGAAGCAACTTTTGAACAGGAAGTTTAAGTTGGTGATGCAGAAACAGAGCAGAGCAAGGAGAACTTTGACTGCCAAGAAGCCAATGCTGGACTCTAAGGACTAGTAAGATTTTTTTTCTATTATACAAGGACAAATATTAGATGGAATTTTGTTTTACCTAGGTTTTACTTAGGTTGGCTGAAGTTCCTCTTTAGGAACTCCTGACTTGTGAGTCATCAGACTGTAAAGAACTTGTGTATAGAACATGGGCGGACTGACAACTCATGGGGCCCCCGGGCAATAGGGGATCATGGGGCCCCTGTGTCCTTGTCCAAACTCAAAAAAGCCTATGAAAAAGGTACCAGGGGCATCTCATGGGGCCCCTACTGATCCCAGGCCCTCGGGCAGTGCCTGAGTTTCCAAATGGTCAGTCCACCCCAGGTTGGAAGATGTCCCAGCATCTGTTATACTCATGGTTTTTCTGCATCAGTCACTCGCCAAGCAGCAAAGAAAGGATAAAGATGATGGCCCCGGAAATTCTACCATTGGCAGCTCCTATGTATTATTCCTGATAAGCTTCACTCAACTGATCCACATCAGTAATAAACAGTGATAGGTGGTAGTTTGTACCACTGGAAATAGTTAGGACGCAGAGCTGGTTAATATAAAAATAAAAAATAATACAGGAGTAAAGATTATACCCAGTGTGCACACAAATACCAGCCAAGAGCCACTGTTGAGGCCATGCACGTGTGTGCGTGTCAACAGTGAGGGCCCTAAACAGGGGCCCAAACAAACACATCTCTATCAGTACTTTGTCATTTCAAGTCAGTTGCGGTTTAAAGTATTTCCCCAGCCAAACATAAACATTTTAATCCAGAGAGAAACAAGTTATTTTCAGTAATAAATCATTCTAAGATATTCTAAAATTTTCCCCAAAATAAATGTTTAATAGGACTTGTTTTATTTGTTTGCACTTTCATACTTTTTATTTCAGATTTGATATTGCTCCCTCTAGTGGTCATCTGTATATCGGGGCCGTGATTAGCATTTTAAGGTGAAAGTATTGTGTATTTTCAACTTGTACAGATTTTTAGCATCATCAACCAAAAGAAAGAGGAGGGGGAGGCCAATTTGCAGACTTTAAAGGCACTGCAACAATAATTCATTAATTTAAAATTACTTTTTTATTGTTAGAATATAAGTCATTACAATACATAAAAAATATATCCGCTAAGAATGCAAAAGCCCCCAAAGAGAGGGGGTGATGCATTCTATGCAGTTACAAAACTCGTAGATACATATAGTAATTAAAATGTATTCAGATGTACCATGTCCCGGGAAGGGTATAAAGAAACATAAATCAGATGTCAGTGGTTGTAGTTACTCAACATGTTTCACGAGAATATCGCTTCTTCAGGAGTTACTTAAAAATATCGGCTACAGTACAAGGACTGTGTGGGGTTTTTTGTTTTTTTTGGTGCGTGTGGAGCATGCGCGTCTCAGGCAACTCAGCAGGGGGATCCCAAAAGGATAAGAGATGTGCTATGTGGTCCTAGCAGGGATCTCCTTCCATTCATGGAGACTGCAAAATTATTATTGTCAATAATCTCAGAGCCAAATGAGCCACTTGAATAGTATTTGATGACATGAACAATGTGAGAAAGGTGTAACGAAGCCTCTAATAGATCCGCATAGTCACTAATAACTGTTGGGCAATGTTTGTAGTACCTTATTAGATACAGACAAAGAAGAAAAAGCAAGGCAATAAAAACAATATGATAGGGTTCATCAGTCTCGCAGTATTGCAATCAAATTGGCCATGTTAGGGTAGTCCATCAGACTTGTATCTGGATCAGAGGATAAACAAACCGAACAGTACGACCAAGAATTCCCCTTAGCCCAATCGGGCTATGCACACCTGTCCTGACCACCAAGACTGCCTGAGGATGTATCGCTGGAGCCCCCCGCTCTCCGTCCCACTGTGCTGGCTGATAACATATTTTTACATATTTTTAGATATTATTGCATCTTTTACCCTTAGGGCTCATTCATACCATGGTGCATAGACGTCAGTTTTCTGCACACGTTCTGCAAGGGTACAACAAAATTAATTGTTCTCTATGTGTCCTGTTCACAGAAAGTGAAGGGAAATATCCGCAATGTGACACAGATGTCAAAAATATATGACAGGGGTTATAACCCTCCTTTACTCTATACAAAATGAAAAAGAAGTTTTGCCTATAGTTTCAATTTAAAGTATATTTTTACCCTTGCAGCCAGGTTAGAATAACAGCTACTTTATCTTTGTTATATGTTCCCATTAACATTAAAAATTTTAAAAATGCTGCTCACCTTTTAAAACTAAGTTCAAGGAATTAGACAAAATCTACCCTTGAAGTGGATTTCATGCTTGTTTAGTCTAGGGGTGCAGGGTAAGTGTATTATTTACCTTATCCCTTGGTCTGGAAGACTCCAGGGCTGCTTTCTTCTGCCTGAAGATTTGAGCTGTGGGTGGTCCCTGGGCATCATCACATACAGTGGAGGGCCAATAACCCTTTACTGTACATGACAAGGCGAACATGTGACTATGGTCCAAAGCAGCTTAGAGAAGCGGCAGTGCTGGACTGGTCACATGGGTGGATTGAGCCAGCTATAGCAAGGAATAAGGTATAAGGAATAAGGCTTTTGATCTGTAGGGAGTGTTCAGTATGCAGTGCCCATGTTGCCTTCTGTAGCATGGACACTGCCAAATGGCTACCAGAATAGTCCATCATTGAGTCCTCATAGGGTTTTAAGGCACTTCAGTGTCATTTCACGAGAGAGGCAGAAGCAAGACCATGGAGGGCATGAAGAGATGCTTCTTATTTCCGGTTGCTGATACCCAAGAACAGTTATGTTCTTGCATTTAGAGGTAACAAAACACATATTGGGTAGGTGTGTGTACTCAGGTGTAGGTTAGGGTTCCCCTTTATTTAGTGGGCAATCCCTCAGTAGGTGGGCTTTTGGGATTTACCCTGCCCTTTCCTTTTATCTCGGGAGGAGGAGCCAGCAGCTGTAGAAGAAAGAAGCCCTCACTGGAGTTTGGGGGTGGAGGCTCGAGATCAGGGAAGGCCAAAGGCCTAGATAGAGTAGCCCAATTGAGTAACATCACCGCATCCCTCCTGAGTAATAGTGGGACAATTGCCAAAATAGTGTCCAGGATTGAAGTGTTGAGATAATGCACTTTCTGGACTGATGCTGGAGTGATGTACTAGAATACAGAAGCCCATAAATTGAAAATTATTCAACGTAACAGGTTGTCGTGTTCTTTTAACAAGTAAAATTCAAAACAAAGATATCACTTGCCTCTTTAATGTCTCAGCTGGGGAAAGGTTGGAAAGTTGTACAGTAACTGTTCTGCAATGTGTATAAAGAGCTAAATGTGGCGATACTGGCTGGCTCAGGAGTGGATGGTGGTTAGGGGGCTGGATTCATCCTTCTGGTGATAAGAAAAGAACCCTCCTCAAGTATCATGCACCAGGTGAAATGGGCCCTCATGTAACATGAGCTTCAGGTGTTTGGATGGATTCCCAGAGTCCTAACCTGGACCACGAGTAAGACACAGGCCTGTGTAGGAAGTGCTTTGAGCAGTAGGGGGTTAATAGACTGTGACTAGAAGGATGAGAGAAAGAGGCCTATGGTTTGCATCCATGCATGTGTACAAGAGGTGAGTTTGGATACCTGTACCATCAGGATGGCTCCAAGGTTCTGTGTGCAGTAGAGAACCTGGCTGCACGTGCAGGCCTTAAGTATGGAAAATGGGGTGTCCTTCCTACTTGTGGATGGGGTAGGAACTGGATAGGTGCTTTAATATGTAAGTTCTCCTTTAAAGAAAAAATGTAAACATGAACTAACACCATACAGAGGCACAGTCAGACTGGCACATCACCAAACTGTTGTTACAAGGTTGAGAGTGCCTTTGTGTGCTTTAGCCTTAACAATAACCTTCACTTAAAAACACACCTGGACTGAACAACTTGGAGGGATGTCCACTGCTGGACTCTCTAAATCATTTTGACTACCTGATTCCTTTGTCTCTGAATCTAAGCTTTTTCATTGGTATGAACAGAAACCTCTCTCTCAATTGCAGCATCACCTATACATTAGAGGCTGAGGGAGCTGATGTAGTGATGTGGCAAGACATCTAGGAGTACTGTGAAAAGCCTGATGTACTGGCTGAAAGTCACTATAAATAAGGGAAATTAAATGTGTGCTAACAATTCATGCATAATTTCACTTGTCAACCATGATTGTTCACTATAATACTACACTACACTACACACAGAATTAGGCCCTGGCAAACAGACAATACCAGCTGCCTCAAAAAACGTAGCCGTGCTCTTGAGCGTTTATGGCGTAAGACTAAGACCCAGCAAGACTTCGACCAATATAAATCTGCCTTTCAAAAATACAATTCTTGTCTCCACACTGCCAAACAGACCTATTTTATCACTCTCATTAACACCCTCTCATGCAATCCCTGTCAACTTTTTTCTACCTTTAACTCTCTACTTCGTCCTTCTTTACCTCCACCCACTAAATCACTCGCTGCCCAGGAGATCGCTAATCACTTCAAAAATAAGATTGATACAATTCGTGATGAAATCTCCACTGTACAGATATCTCCCTCGCCCTACACTCCTTGTCCACCTGCACAATCTATACTTCCCTTGTTTCACCCTGCTACTATAGAGGAGGTTGGTAAACCTTTTTTCTAAAGCCCACCTAACCACTTGCCCCCTGGACTCTGTTCTCTTGCAAATACTACGTTAACCCTCTGGCTCTGTCCTTCGGTCTTTAACTCATATCTTCAATCTCTCCCTTTCTATTGGCATCTTCCCCAACTCTCTCAAACATGCACTAGTCACCACCATACTTAAAAAGGCCTCACTGGACCCCACCTTACTCCCTTTTGCCTCCAAACTCCGTGAATGTCTAGTCTACAACCGGCTGAGCTGCCACCTTATTGACAATAACCTTCTCAATCCCCTTTAGTCTGGATTTCGCCAACAACACTCCACAGAAACTGCTCTCCTAAAACTCACAAACAACTTACTAAGCGCTAAAACCAATGGTCACTATTCCGTACTCTTACTCTTGGACCTCTCCGCTACCTTTGACACAGTTTACCACCCCCTCCTAAAACAAAAAACTCTATTTACTTGGTCTCCATGACTGTACTCTCTGTTGGTTCAAATCTTACCTATCTCATCGCACCTAGATTGCTAATTACAACTCTACTTCCTCCTTTCCTACTCCTCTTACTGTTGGGGTCTCCTATTCTCGATCTACACTTCTTCCTTGGGTCAGCTGATAGCTTCCCATGTTTCCAATACCATTTCTATGCTAATGACACACAAATCTATCTCTTTACTTCTCAACTCACCCCATCAGTTTCCTCACGTATCACTGATTTACTAACAGACATATCAGACTGGATGTCACACCACTTCCTAAAACTCAATCTATCCAAAACTGAGCTCATAATATTTCTTCCCCCCACGTGCCTCAGGATCAATAGCACCACTATCAACCCATCCCTGCATGCCAGGGTGCTAGGGGTAACCATGGATTCTGAACTATCCATTAAGGCCCACATCAAATCCTTGTCCAAATAATGCCGCCTCAACCACCACAACATCTCCAGAATACGCCCCTTTTTAACCAATGATACCACAAAGCTCCTAATTCACTCCCTGGTTATCTCTCCCCTCGACTACTGCAACTCCCTCCTCATTGGCTTACCTTTAAATGGGCTATCTCCCCTCCAGTCCATCATGAATTAAGCTGCCAGGCTCATCCACCTTACCAACCATTCAGTGTCTGCTACCCCTCTCTGCCAATCCCTCCACTGGCTTCTGCTCGCCAACTTCAAAATACTAACAGTAAATTACAAAACCATCCACAACTCTGCCCCCAGCTACATCACCAACCTGGTCTCAAAATATCAACCAAACCGCTCTCTTCAATCCTCCCAAGACCTTCTGCTCTCTAGTTCCTGTGTCAACTCCTCCCATGCATACCTCCAGGACTTCTCCCAAGCTTCTCCCATCCTATGGAACTCCCTACCCCAATCTGTCTGGCTATCTCTTAATCTATCCACCTTTAGACAATCCCTGAAAACCTTTCTCTTTAAAGAAGCCTATCCTGCTTCTAACTAGTAAACTGCCTTTTATTTCCTCTATCAGCTCATCCCCCCACAGCTATTACCTTTTGTATCACTCAACCCTTCCTCCTAGACTGTAAGCTCTAACGAGTAGGGCCCTCTGTTTCCTCTTGTACCAAATTGTATTGTAACTGTAATGCCTACCTTCATTTTGTAAAGTGCTGTGCAGGGGCGGACTGACCATTTGGAAACTCGGGAACTGCCTGAGGGCCCAGGGTCAGTAGGGGGCCCCATGAGATGTCCCTGGTACCTTTTTCATAGGCTTTTTTGAGTATGGGCAAGGACACAGGGGCCCCAGGTTACCCTATTGCCCGGGGGCCCCATGAGTTGTCAGTCTGCCCCTGGTGCTGCGTCAATATAGTTAACATTATATTAAACCTGTATAATAATAATAAAAAAGAGAGAATCTATCACAAAGCAAAACACTTGTTCTGTATTTGTGGGAGGATGTATTGTTCGACAGATTTGGTGCCACTCAGTGAAATGGAGTAGATTCAGCTTTACTGTGCTGTCCGGTTGTTTGAACATCTGTGATCCCTTTAACTGAGGCTGCTTGTTTTTTACTTCAAGACAGGTTCTCTTTAATCCACACTGCAAAATACAGCTAGCAATAGTGTGAATTGGCTGCCTGTTACTGGCTTCTTCTAGCTGCGTGATTGACTGCTGATCCAAACTTCAATAAACTCACTTGTTAAAACTTTAAAACTGGTCCAAAGCCAGGGCCTTCTGTTTTTACGGCCCAAAAACCCGACATCTCTGCCAACCATGCAGGAAGCTGATGCCCACGTGCATCCTACTTTCCTACAGATGATGTATGGTTTTAATCTATCACTTGTTGTGGGCTTTGACATACTATTCATCACGTTTTCATGTGAGGTCTTTTTGTCCTTACACCTAAAATATTTCAAATTGCTGTTACTACATTTCTCTCTAAATTTTCCCTGTCTAGGGAAATGTACTTGTAAAAATTAAAAAATAAGCTTACTGATTTCCACTTCAGTCTGTTAGACACCTTTCACACAAGCCTCATCCAGTATTGCTCAGCATGGGATCTGTCCACTGATCCCCTACTGAACTGCTGGATGACAGGTCTATGTCTGCTCCACTTATGCAGAGCAGACATGAACATAGTCCACTCTGCTCTATGCGCAGTTAGGTGTAAACAGACCAGCTGTCCATTTACACCCGACTGCCCTACGATCTGATCAGGCCAGATGGAGAGGAATAGATCCATCTTTTGTTTTTTTTTGCCCGACTGGATTGAAGGTAGCTGGGTGTGTAAAGTGATATAAGTCCATTTACCTCCGACTACCTTTAGAGGAGAATGGAGGGTCTGATCGGCTCTGCCTGAAAAATGGGCAGTCAGACCCGGTCGAGCAGCTAGTGTGAAAGGGGTCTTATCAGAACAGCTGTCTTACACAGAACCCACCTTTGACTGCATTGGGAAATATAAGTGAGTCAAGGCACGTAATGTAGATAACACTCCAGGGAAAAGGTATTTGGGTGCAGTGGGTGTGGGAAAGCCATTTTTAGTAGTGGGGGGACCTCAAAATCTAAAGGGGTTTTTTTTTTTTTTTTTTACTTTAGATCAGTTTTTCTTAACCAGGATTCCTCCAGAGGTGGCTAAGGGTTTCTTGAGCTATGGTTAACTGACCTTCCGTCTGATGGTGCCTTCATACTCCTAAGTCTCACACCACTTGGCAGAGCTAGCAACTTAATTGCAATAGGGGTATTCTTCCCACTGACCACCACCAATGTAAGCGGCATTTTCCCCAATGACCTCTAAATGGACTAATCTTAGCAGGGGTTCCCTGAGACCTGAAAACTGGTTCAAGGGTTCCTCTGGGGTAAAAAGGTTGAGAATGGCTCTTTTAGATTCACTTTAAAGGGTCTTTTCACCTGAAACTAAGATGTTGGTAGATGCAGTTCCTTTGATTCATTCACCAACCTATTTCTCGTAAGTACTTAAATTGTATCTCAAGGCAAAAAAAAGAAAAAACATAAGTAATACATCTCTGAAATACACGCAGAAGACTTAAATGTCTGTACTTTTTTTTGCTCGTGACCCTGTTGGAGCAGGGGTTGACTGACAACTCATGGGGCCCCCGGGCAATAGGGGATCATGTGGCCCCTGTGTCCTTGCCCAAACTCAAAAAAGCCTATGAAAAAGGTACCAGGGGCATCTCATGGGGCCCCCTAATGACCCCGGGCCCTCGGGCAGTGCCCGAGTTTAAAAATGGTCAGTCCGCCCCTGTGTTGAAGACATTCACTCTCTCCCCATTTAATTGTGACACCAGGAGAAGAAACAGTGGGGTGCGGGATGTCACCAGAACAGAAAGAAACAGACACTAAGGAAAACATGAGATGGAGAGATTTCCCATCACATCTGGTCATATTTGTCATGATAAGGCTTTTGTTGCATTAGTTCTTAGGCCCAATTCATACTGGGTGTTCAGCCCAGGGGCATGAGGCTCCAGGGTTTAGGGGTATTGGGAAGGTACAGGCGCACCATCTAGCCTCGCTGCCGGCAATCAGGCAAAACCTATGAAAGGCTGAGAGTTGCTGCGGCTGGACGGTACACCAAACTGTGCTTATATTTAGTGCAGTATGCTCCCAGAGATGAATGGCCAGAATGCAGACTGCTTACATTACGGGCATTTGTAATAATTGAAAGTACCATTTGGTGCACCGTCCAGCCACACTGGTGTTTAGCACCCTGTGGGTTCTGGAATAAAGGTCCAGAATACAGAAGATCCATATACTGGACCTTCCTCCTGAACTCATATGGCGCTAAATACCAGTGTGGCTGGACAGTGCACCAAGCAGTATTTATGTTTAGTACAAATGCCCGTAATGCAAGCAGTCTGCATTCTAGACCTTCTTGCCTGAATGCACAGGGCTCTAAACGCCAGTACCAATCAGTACAGTGTTCATCCCCATCCAGCCACAGCTTACCATACATATGAAATTCTGCCTGTAGCTGGGCTGGATGCTGCATGTGTCTCTTTTGGGTGTATTAAGGCCTGATTCACTCCAATGTGTTTTTTAGTGCACTTTGCTTTTTGCAGAAGCAAAATTCAGTCTATTTAATATGATTTCCCATGGGATACGTTCACGTCTATGTGTTTTCACCCACTGCATTTTTTGGAAAGAGCCAGGGATTTTTTTAAACGTAAAATGGTGCATTTTTGATTCAATGGTGAAGCTACAGAAAATGCATATAGTGCATTTTTTACACGTTTTTGAGGCGTTTTGTGTTTTTAATCTGTCCAACAACAAATTGGCCAAAAAAGCATTAAAAAGGTGTGGCAATGCGTTAAAAATGTGTGTGTGCAAAAGCGTAAAATGCACTGCAGAAACGGATCAAATCAAACTGCATAGGTGTGCTGCATATGTGATTTTGCAGTTCTAGGTAGGGGGCGCGTGCATGTGCCGCTCTACCCAAGCTGCCACTGGTTGCAGTGGATGTCAATCACCGGGGAGAGATCTGTGTGTAAACAACACAGATCTCTCTCCTGTCAGCATGGAGAGAGAAAGGAGCATGTCTCCCTAGTAAAGCAGCACACAGTAAAAGCTCAACACAACACACAGTTAACCCTTTGATCACCCCAAATCTTAATTCGTTCCTGCCCAGTGTCATTAGTACAATGTCAATTCTTTTTATTAGCACCAATCACTGTATTAGTGTCACTCGCCGTTAGTTCCCACTCAGTGTCAGAATGCCCGCCGCAGTTCCGCTATAAGTCGCTGATCGCCACCATTACTAGTATAAATAAATAAATAAAAAATACCAGTATATACCGCCATTTGTAGACGCTATAATTTTCATGTAAACCAATTAATTTACATGTATTGGAATTTTTTTTTTAGCAAAGACATGTAGCAGAATACATTTTGGACTAAATTTTGAAGAAATTTTTTTTTTTTTTTTTTTTTTTTATGTTTTAAAGCAAAAAGTCAAAAATATTGTTTTTTTTTTAAATTGACGCCTTTTTTTTATAGCGCAAAAAAATAAAAAATGCAGAGATGATCAGATACCACCAAAACAAAGCTCTATTTGTGGGGAAAAAAAGAACAGAAATTTAATTTGGGTGCAGCGTTGCATGCCTGCGCAATTGTCAGTTAAGGTAACTCAGCGCCGTATTGCAAAAAATGGCCTGGTCAGAAAAGGAGGGTAACTCCACTGGTGGGCAGGTGGTTAAAAAAGGGAGCTGTCCCCTGCAATATTTCTCCACTACCACGAGTCTTCCAGGTTGAATGAACAATAGCATCATTTAACCCACTTCCTATGAGCCCAGGCTGTCATGGTCCCATAACACAGCCTGGTCTCAGTGTATGAGAACATCACTTAACCCTGCAATTTGTGTCTCTCAATTAATTCATTGGGATGGGAATGAGGAAGGATACTAGAGCGCCAACGTCAGAGTTGGAAGCTTTTCACTGGTTTTGCTGGCCTAGTAGGGTTTATGTGGTCACAGGTTCACTTTAAAGCTAGGAATCTGGAAAGACAATATGTACAAAACAGTAATATTTTTATTAATTGCACCTGGTTTAAGGCTGTTTGGAGAACTGTGCAATAAGTACACCACATGGATTATGAATGTGCTGATCTGCAAGAAGGAATATGAAATGAAAATATCGATAACACCTGCAGCTGCTTCAGAAGAGTGCCTTTGGCTTACAATAGGTGAATTCCCTGCTCCTTTGAGATACGTTCTACAACTGCAGCTGCCTCTAGTAGCAAATTGCCTTTTGTTACTAAACAGTTTGCAGATTCCATCTGATGAATCATCAGTGATCCCTCTTGCCAAATATTTTTTTTTCTTTCTTGATGGTTCATTTGGGACCAAACTACCAGTTAATTAAATAGCAAAATATAATTTAAAAAAATAGAAACATGTATTTCACCCTAATTTTATATGCAGAAGCAACGTACAAAGTCCTCTCTCCACCTAGAAAAACAAAATGAAAAAAATGACTATGTACAAATTTGTCACGTGAAAACATAAGGTATTCTCATCAACAGAGAAGTACGTAAAATATGTAAAACCTAATATTTAGTAGCTGGAAATGTTGCTAGCTGCTGTATTCATCCTTCTATGGGAAACTGGGTTCCTACAGCTTATAAAGAACTACTTCTCCCAGCATGCCCTAAAGTCCTGTCTCTAAACCAACAGGAGAACTTAAAAGGTACTTGTAACTTAAACTAACTTTATTTAAAGGGAAGCTGACCTGGTAAGTTGTTTTTTGTTTGTTTTTAAATAATTTTATATTTTGTGTGGTTTTTCTATTAGTCTTCTCCTGGAAGCTATTTAGTATTTTTACCATTTGCCTACTGCAGTACATCTTTATATGGTGAAGTGGGGGACACTTATTTCTGCTGCACTGTTTATAAAAAACCACTGCATAAATAGTCATTATGCATTGCCCCCTAAGCCATATTAAAAGAGCTGCTTCCCACTATTTATTTCTAATTTATTTATTTATTTATTTTTGCATTGGTACATGTTCCCTTAGAGCAGTGCCACAAAACACGCATCCAGGGAGATGTCTTTTAGCAGCAAATGACATCTTTTTCTTCCTAAATGTAATTTTTGCTTCAGTGCATCCTACAAGTGCTCCACTTCATAGTTAGATTTAAGGCATCCACCGAGCATGTTATTTAAAGGAATTGTGCATTTTCAAAGTTATCCTTTAAGCTGCATAAAAAGAGCTTCTCCCTGCTGAAATGTATTTTAACAAAATGTTTGCATTGGTACATGTCCTCTAGGGTATTGCCCAGCTTCCCATACACTTTGTTCGATTTGGGGGATCCCCAAACCATTTTTATACAATAAAAAAACTAAGCCAACAGGGAAATGTCATTTAGCAGCAAATTATATATTTTTTTTTGTAAATATCACTTTTTCTTTTAGTGCATCCTACAGGTGCCCCACTTTACAGACAGACTTAAAGTGTTACCAAATGCAAAAAAAAAGTTTTTAAAATAAAATAATAAATATGTTATACTCACATGCTCTGTGCAATGGTTGTGCACACAGCAGCCCCAAACCTCCTCTTCTGGGATCCCCCATCGGTGGTCTTGGCTCCTTTTCTTCTCCTGGTGCCCCCCATAGAAAGCTGCTTGCTATGGGGGCACACAGTGAGTGCTCACTCCAGAGCTGTGCGTGTCTATGGAGCCATGCTGTCCCCTCACAGCATTTGATTGACAGTCAAAGTCCCTGTTTGAAGAGGAAGAGAGGGGAGAGAAGAGATCCAGCTGGCACAGCACTGGATCAATTGCGGACTCATGTAACTATTTAGGAAGGTAGAGGGATGCAGTTAGCTGCAAAAACATTTTTTGCCTTAACCACTTGACCTATGGAAGGTTTTATCCCCTTCATAATAAGGGCATTTTTAAGCTATTCAGCACTGTGCTACATTAACTGCTTTGCAATGTGCAGATTGTAAGCAGATTTGCTCATCACTACTCATTTAAAACAGAAGCTCCTCATTCCAGCTGCCTATTTACTTCAGTAGTGCAGCCGTAGCCCACTCTGAGATGTGTCTTTGGCCATCTCCAGAGATTATGGATTCTCTGGGGATATTTTTGGTTTAGATTGCTGTTTTTGCCACAGCTGCTATGCCAAACTCAATAGAAAGTATTTTTTTCTGATTTTGCAAGACAATAAAAATTAATCATCTAAAATCAGAGGTGAAAAATGCTGTTAAATGTAGCATAATATATTCAATATATATTCAAATAATATATTCAAAATAAAAATTGTGAGACCAGTACTTTAATTTTTTTCTTATCTAGGAATCACCAGATTTGTTCAATCAGTCCAATTATGAGAGCTACTGTATTATAGTCACTATAAGTGGTGGAGAGATTGTAGTAGGAGATCTCATGCCCAGCAGAGGGTCTCTTTGATGGTAATAAGTCACTAAAAATGCCTTCCCCTCCTGATACCCAGGTGCAGGAGCTCGCTTAAGTTGGACCATTCAGACAACATTGTAGTAGCATTTGTACGTCAGTATTTATTGAAGCTCCACTTGCTTCTGGGTATCAGGTTGCAAGGCATTAAGACCCTTTGTCAGGCCTGCTGGCTAATCAGCATAGTTACATCTGCCATACTGTAGAAGTTAAAATACTGGCCCCAGAAGCAAAAACTTTAAGGAGCCTGAACATACCCTCATAAAGCTTCATGGACACCCCAGGGACCCCGACTCCCACAGTGTTCTAATACCTAAATGCCAACACTTCCTTGCTG